TTATGCAAAAGGATGCTGAGAAGAACATGGACATATCATGTGAAAAACAGAGGCCATCTTAAAGAAAATGGAAACAAAAAGGACATTTGTATTTAGAATCAAAAAGAAACAGTAGGCATTTCTGAAGCTTATATAATAAGGAAAGAAGGCTCAGAAAATTTGACACTCAGAGGACCATGAATATAGAGAGGCCGAGAGAATGTAGTGAGTAATATAATAGATATATATATAATAACGTGTAAATGGATGGCAAGAAAGAGATTGGGAGGTATAGTAAGGAGACAAAGATTGATTCAACCTACAACGGAGAAGAAGTAGTAAAGAGCCACGATCGTTCACGTCCTAAACGGACACGGCATATTAAAGAAGAAGATAATTTCGAAGAAACGGAATATCAAAACCTCATAATATTTTTATCACTAAAGAAAATCTTAGGATTTTCTTTAATCCTCGCTGAGTGCTCCACGCTTTCCGCCTTGTGCCACACCTAAGATACGCTTAAAAAATCATGTGTACTTAGACGTAGTGTAATGGCTAGCCAGCTTGTTTCGCTAAGTCATTTTCTACCTAGTAGTGAGTTCAGTACTCATTGCGTACTGCATATTTTCGGCCTTGTGCCACACCTAAGATACGCTTAGAAAATCACCATAGGATTTTATCTAAAAAGTAATAAATGACAACCTTTTATTTATATTCTGTCAATTCATATTCTTCTTTATTGCGCCGAGTCCCTTCTGGACATCGAAGATCACGGCTCTCCACAAACTTCCTATAGTCTGTAGCTGTAAGCAAGGTTTTTTCCCCCTTACTCTCCATTCCAATCGATGTTCTGCAAACATATTACTTCTATATGTTATTGTATTGACTGTTTTTACTAGACAGGTGTTTGTTTTGAATCTTGGCCATGTAGATATAGACAGACAAATATATATATATATATATATATATATATATATATATATATATATATATATATAGAGAGAGAGAGAGAGAGAGAGAGAGAGAGTGAGATAGATAGTTATGAAAGAGACTGAGATAGATACATACATAAATACATACATATGAATAACGGATAGATAGACATTTAGATAGACATAAATAAGCATGGATATTAATAGATAGATATTAGAAGACTGATAGATAGATAGATAGATAGATAGATAGATAGATAGATAGATATGAACAGGGGTATATATATATATATAGAGAGAGAGATATATATAAATAGACTGAGAGAGAGATATGAGTAGACTAATAGATATTTAGATAGATAGATATGAATGAACTGATAGATAGATAGATAGATAGATAGATAGATAGATAGATAGATATTCAAGGAAGATTATAATAGACAGGAAGGTGAAAATATCGAGAAAGAAAGAAAAAAGAAAGAAAGATTAGATGAAAAGACAAAGAGATATAAAACGACTGGCATATAAAGGAAGAAAGAATAAGGGAGAAAAAGAAGATAGAGGGATAGAAAGAAAAAAGAGAGAAGAAAGAAAGTAGCGAGGTTATCTCAATAAAAACAAACAAATATAAAGATACTGGAATAGATAGATAGATTGATAGATATAAACGGGCATATATATATATATATATATATATATATATATATATATATATATAGTCTTAAGGTGTGCTATATTTATGGGATAAAGTGCTCAATATCAGAGATAGAGCGTGTGTAAATATAAAAGTGAACATAGAAGTCAACACTTAGAGGCGACAGTCTGTTTCATGCTATATGCAATCGTCAGGACGATTGCATATGTTCACTGAAACGAACTATTATATATATTATATATATATATATATATATATATATATATATATATAGATAGATAGATAGATAGATAGATAGATAGATAGAAATAAACTGATATAGAGTGACAGAGATATGAATAGCCAGATATGTGCATAGATATTAATGGACTTAGAGTGAGTGAGTGTCTGTATGAAAGAGAAAGAGCAAGATGGGTAGCGGGAAAGAGAGATAGCCCTGGCTATGATTAAAAACAAACATCGATGTAATATACCCAGGAGAACGATGTTTCAATACAATAACATTCTTATAAGCTGTAAGCAATCTGTTTTCATAGGAATTAACACTTGAAAAAGAAGACCACAAACGCGAATGACCCTAACAAAAATATGTTAGAATAGTAATGGTAATAGTAATATTAACCATTTACTTGTAATGACTTATCGCATCCATCGGCCCAGCTGCCAGTCGGTTGAAATTTAAACAATCTTTCTATAGAGGTTTTGCGAGTCCAGTAGCTGTTACCGCTTTTTCAAGCATTAATGAGGGATTCTGTCCTAACCTTTCGTTTAAAGGAGTGTGGAACGTCCACATCTTGATTTGTCATTATTTTCTCTTTGAGTTACATGTGCTAACCATTTTAGTTGTCGCTGCTGTTAAACATCGTTTGATATCATTTCCGTTATCTGATACAGTTAGTTGCGATTCTGTAGCTCCAATCCGTTTTTTGGCCATCTGGTTTCACATACACCTAGAATGTTGATGTTAAGTCTGTTCATCTCTTGTTTAACATTATCAAACTGGCCGCAGTTGTTCAATGATCGGACGTTCCATGTTCCGACAGTTAATTTATATCGCAGGATAACCACCCGGTGACACATACCCTTCCTTTCCGGTCGAGGGATCGGTTCTGAGGAATTTTATCTCCTGTCCTTTCCTTATCTACTTTGGCGTTTATGTCTCCTCTGATAATGATGATTTCCTATGATTTGCATAGAGCCTTGACAGTGTCCAGCAGTCACAGCAGAGTAGAAAGATTCAATGTCCACCTCTTTTCTTTGTGTCGTCGGTGCGTAAACTACCGTAATAGACACGTTGAACGGCTTCCCTTTCAGCTTCACTATGAGAATTCGTTCGGAAAGTTGGTGGTATCCTAGAACGTATTTATGAAATGCATTATCTAGTATTAATCCTACTCCTTTGTTGTTGTTCTCGCCGTTTACATAAATTATCCTGTTGTTGTCGCTGACGATGTCTGGCCATCTGGTTTCACATGCACCTAGAATGTTGATGTTAACCCTGTTCATCTCTTGATCGATATTATCAAACTGGCCGCAGTTGTTCAATGTTCGGACTGGAGTTTCTGGGACACATAATGAGGAAGGATGGCCTGGAGAATCTGATACTCACGGGTCGAATAGAAGGAAAGAGATACAAGGGAAAGCAGCGCGTGACATACCTGACAAGCTGGAGCAGTTGGATGACAGAACGTGGTCTGGGGGAGGTGGCAGAGGGAAGGAACTTGTTTAGAGCTGCAAGGGATAGAGGGAGGTGGAGAGCTATGATCGCTTACGTGCTGAACGGACATGGCACATATAAAAAAATAAGCTCCAATCCCCGAGGTTCGAAGAATTGTTGTCCTTGCTAAGACCTCTATGATGCTTCACTCTCTGGAAGCCATTTATAACTATGGATATGTCACAGCCATTGTATACAGCAGGCATTTCAGGTATTTATGAACGAATTTGAAGGTCGCGATCTGACGAGGTTAAGAAGCCGAATTTTAGGTCAATGTTTTGTAGTAACTTGCGGTGTTGGGCGAAACTAATCCTAGCGTTGCGTATTATAAGTTCAATTTCTTTATCTCCTATTCTAAACGTATTATAACTAATGCCTATGTATTTGAAATGTTTATTAACTATAATTACCACAGCAAGAATAATATATTATTAAAACGAATATGACACAATAATATGCCCGACTGTTAAGAAAAATCCTTTTGAAAGCAGTAATAAATATCTCTGCATTAACTGTAACATCCATAAAAAAAATATGTAAAAGGAAACGACTCCTAGTATATGTTACGATGATATGAAAAATACGGAAATCTTGGCACTTCCTTCCCTCAAAAACTTGTGTGTCAAAAGGACGGATTTTCCCATGACACCGCTATTCTTTTAACTATCTTCACTCCCCGGTAATGCTAAACGTTTTAAAAAGTCATGATTTGAATTTTAATAAAACCTAAACATATGTAAGTGGATTTATACATTTCTTTATTCTTGAAAATTGACCAAAAAATAATAAATATTAGAATATTGGAATAGTTTGGCAAAATATTGGCAAATTTCGATTCGAATTTTATAAAATGGCAAAAAAGGATTTCCTTGGAGTTGGTTCAAACATTTTTATAAATGTCGTAAATATTTATAAATTTATTTTATAAATTTATGAATAAAATAGTTTTCATATTTATTTCCTTATAAATTGGTAAATGATAAATATTACATTGCATTACTCATAATATAAGTGTATTATTTTTTAGAGTGTTGTAAATACAAAATTATACTTGTGAATAAACAATCTAATGTATAAATAGCCTTTAATATTTTTGCTGTAAATTCTCAGGAACAAAAAATTCTATAAATTCACTTACATCATTTATGTTTTAGTACAATTCTAATAATCGCTTGTAAAATAATAAACATTGCCTCCGAGCGACGGGAGTAAAAATAATAGTGGTGTCAAAGGAAAGTCCGTCATTTTTGCACTCCGATTTTTTGTAAGCACAAAAGCACAAAAACTCTATTGCAGGCTCTTCGTCTTATTAATTCCAGCTTATTATTGTCAAACAATACAGCCCCATAAAATATATATAATCCGCAGGATATGTGAATTTGAAAAAAATCTTATTGCAAACAATAGATTTCAGGTGACTGCTTCGTGGAACACAAACCTTGAAATCTATGGATTTTCTTATTGATATTATACAAAAAATATGAAGCAAACACAATGATTGCGTTTGTGTATCACCTATTCACTCGTTTCAGCTAATAAACAGCCACACCTTTTTCCCTGTCATTAGGTCCTGTCAGTTTTGTTCAAATATTCCAAATAAAGATATCGTCATTGAATTTCGGAAAATAGCCCAAATCCCATCGTGTTAAGTGTTTTGTATTAAATGATGGATGTTTCATTTTTTTTTAATGGCTTTATATTTGTTTCATGAAAAATCTTAATTTGAGAAATAATGAAGAGAAAAGATGAGGAAATGATGAAATGCTCGCAAAAACGGAACGAGATAGATATAAACGGGACGTAATAGATAGATAGATAGATGTGCATGTACAGATATATAGATAGATAGATACGAAGAGACTGAATTTCATAGATGTTTATGGACTGACAGACAGACAGATAGATAGATGTTTATGGACTGAGAGATAGACAGACAGATAAATATATGCTTATGGAAATATATATATATATATATATATATATATATATATATATATATATATATATATATATATATAGATGTTTATGGGTTGATAGATGTTTATGAACAGAACAGAACAGATAGATAGATGATAGATAGATAGATAGATAGATAGATAGATAGATAGATAGATGTGCATGGTCTGATAGATAGATAAATGCTTGTGGACTGATAGGTAGATGTTTAAGATAGATAGATAGATAGATAGATAAATAGATAGATAGATGCGCATGATCATATATATATATATATATATATATATATATATATATATAGAGAGAGAGAGAGAGAGATAGATAGATAGATAGATAGATAGATAGATAGATAGATAGATGTTTACTCACGGATAGATTGTGAGAAATTCTGCAATTTAAGCTCCTATTGGCTAATTTTGTAACGACCAGTCTCATTGGTCGAATTTGACTTTTTTTTCGCGGGCATTTTCAACGGCCCGTGCTCCGTTGAACTCAGTCGCCGCCTGATTTTAAGATTTAGTTAAGATATTCCGGCCCGCGTAAGGGTTAAGGGCAGGGAATAAATGAGTCAACCTTCTAGTTTGAAAATCAGGCGGCGACTGAGTTGAAAGGAGCACGGGCTGTTGAAAAAATGCCCGCGAAAAAAAAAAGTCAAATTCGACCAATGAGATTGGTCGTTAAAAATTAACCAATAAAACAAATTTCGTTCTCAAAGATAGAGACTGAGACCCTGTGGGAAGATGGATGGAGTCATAACGTCGACATCACTAGTGATGAATCTAAAGCGATCATGTTGACTGAATACTCTGCACTGTCCTCAGATTGACACACAAACACTCAGAAATGTTCGTATTGGAGCTTCCGGTGCGAATTCCAAGCAGTACAGCACGCTGTTTCCAAATTTCTGGTGGAGTGAATTGCGTCATGTTTCTCTTTTTCTCACAGACGGTACCCAACTGACCCTAATATACTGTGAGGTCGACAAAATCAAAAACAAACAACGCGCAATTAAAAATATAATATGGCGACAATTTACCCATCGCTATCTATCTATCTATCTATCTATATATATATATATATATATATATATATATATATATATATAACATGGCTTCGCAAAACGAAGATCAAGAGTGAGTCTGTACACGTCGCTTACAGGCATGTTTGTGACTGATAAGTTCAATGCAGGACAGGCGTACACGTTCGCAGTAGTTGCAGCTCGACAGCCTGGCGTGCAGTACTTCCTACCCTGAGAGCGGCCCTGCAGGTATTTTCAAAGAAGGAGACTGCAGGGTTGGCGATGAGACGCCAGGCGTCACGGTTTTCAACTAGGGTTGACCATTGGCAATGGTTGATGTGACAGGGACCAAAGGATTTTTTCAGTCAATCTTGAATCGCTCCTTTGGTGTGCCTCTGCCGCGATAGCCAGTGGAGAAGTATTGAAACAAAATGGCTATTTTTGTAGTGATTTTGTAACATGTTTATGTCATAATTTTGGAATAAATAATATTTGCTCTACTCTGTATTGAGCACTCTTTTAAGAATAGTGTTTTTGATTATTGGAATTTTATTCCGTCCACACCAATCCTTGTGTGTATATATATATATATATATATATATATATATATATATATATACATATATATATATATATATATATATATATATATATATATATATATATATGTGTGTGTGTGTATATATATATATATATATATATATATATATATATATATATATATATATATAGAAATGACTTGGATTAAGAATAAAATAGATTAATTCCTTCCAAAATAATTTTTAATCCTTTTACTCCAAGCAATGGCGACAATGCCACCAGAACGTCGGACATACTTTGGAGGGAAGAGAATGAGAATACAGCCGCATAAAAATATATTGGTCCGCAGGTTATGTGAATTTGAAAAAATCTTATTGCAAACAATAGATTTCAGAGAAGATTGAAAATGGAGAAGATTGAGGAAAGAGCAAAAAAAAAAAAAAAAATGAAAGGATCAAGAAGACAGAAGATGGCGATTGACGCTGCATTTAAATTTCAAAACATTGTAGTTATCAAGGAAACAAGATAGAGGAAGCGAATTCCACAGGTGGGAAGTGCAAAAAAAAAAAAAAAAAACAGTCAGAATACAAATGACGGTTGCATCGAGTTCAACAGTAAAACGATGAGACCTAACTGCCAATCTAGTAGTACGCTTAAATTCTTCCAGTCAAGGCAACAGGAAAAAAATGCTCACCCGAGTAGTTACCATGAAAATATTTGTAGAACAGACAGAGGGAAGCAAAGTCACGTCGGTGAGAATTTGTCTGGTGAGGGAGATGTCTTGATCGTCAGGATCGGTTGTATTGCAGAACCTTTGTTTTGGATTTTGTCAAAAATCTCGAGACGCACAGTACGAAACCCAGACCAGGTCTGGCAACGGTATTCAATACATGGACGATAGATTGATAAAAAAGTGCATGATGGATTCTGACGAGAAAATTTTTTAGACGCAGTCAAGAAATCTTCCTTGCAGCAGATGTAGCAAATGACTCGATATAGTCGCTCCAATTCATGTCAGTGGAAAGCGTGATGCCAACTTCTGAAGTTCGTCATAAGCGAACCAACCTAATGGCAGGCAAAAAGATTCTCTGTAGTGATTAAATGAAACAGTTTTGTTTTGCAGGCGTCGAAATTTGCAAGTCATTTCTTGCCCTAGTTAATCACTAATTGGAGGTCCTTTTCAATTATATTTAAAACGAGAGTATCCACTGAAAATATATTTTGACGTAATATATATATATATATATATATATATATATATATATATATATGAATAAAAAGACAAGGGGAAAAACTATTCTTAGCCAACTTATTCTTATATTCTTATTTTGTTGCACGTGTTTATATACAAGAGCAATGATATCATTAGTTTATCAAGGCTTTTAAATTTGTGAACGTTCATGAATATTCATCAGGTGATTGAAAGGTCAGTCAAAACATATGGAGGACACAAAGTGCCATAATTCAAACTCTGGTAAGACAGAAATAAACGAGTAATATTCAATAATTTGTATTTTTTAAAATCAATGAATATTCTTTAAATTATGATTTTTATGGTTTAGAATGGGCGTATGTACTGTGCATAATCAAAAACAATAATAATAATAGCTGGTCACTCGTATTCGAGGATAGACATCTACTAAAATCCCTATTGCAGACGTCTGCTCAGGCACATTTGTGTTTTTTCAACACCCACAGAGCCCAACTGTGGTTTATACTGCAACTATGCTGAGCAGACAGGGAGAGAGGGGATTATCTAGCATGGTCAACAATCTGAACAAGTACATTCAAATCCTCGGTCACGATGACTTCAGATTTTGTGCTAGCACAGCTACACCCCCGAGTGTTCTGTCTACCCAATTTCACTCACAAGGCTTGTCTCAACCTGTGGTATGGTTTTCAGGCACTTTCCAAAGGTGCCACACGCTGGGATTGTCCTTTTCCAGACCCATAACGTCTCCTTCCTGACAATTCAACCGTGGTGACATTCGAACCCGGGTCTAATGGGCAGAAAGCAAACGTTCTAACCACTCGGCCACGCGGTAATGAATTCTAACCAATTAAAGAATAAAAACATTTTTTCTCTTGTCTTTTATCCATTTTGTTCTTTTACAGATACACTACCTGAAAATATGCTTTCCAACCAACATTAATTTGCAAAAAATTAAATGCAATGTCAATCGTTATCCACTGTTCTGCTGATTACGCTTTTATTTCTAATTACATTACTAACGTTTCTGTTTTTAACTCATCCACACCTTGTAACCGCTTGCATGCTGGTCGCTATACTCCCTTTCTTGGGGTGATAGCGATTAAAAAAAGAAAAAAAAAAAGAAGAAAACTAAAAGAAATATCAACGTGAAGAAAGGGAGAAAGAACAATAAAGTAATATTGAAAGCGGAAAATACAATAAAGAAAAGAACAATGGACTTGAAGAGAAAGAAAGAAAGAAAGAAAGAAAGAAAGAAAGAAAGAAAATCTATGACTAAACGCGGGAAAAATTAAATAATGAAAAAGACAGGCTAGCTTCATAAAAATTAAATTAGCGAAAAGAAGAGAAAAGAGAAATGAGAGAAAGGAAGAAAGACAAAAGAAAAATATAAGAAGGAAAAAAGCAGAAAACTAATAAATAAATAAAGAAAGAAACAAAGAAGTTTAACATACGAGTAAAGAAATTACAGAGTAGTGTCAACCACAGAAAGAAAGAAAGAAAGAAAGAGCGAATGAAAGAAAGAAGGAATGTTTAAAAAGTTGGAATAAACGTTAAGATCTAATATTGCTCTGAACTCCGTTACAACTTACATACATTTGAATGGAAGATATGAGTTAGGGACTGTGAAATCTTGCAAAAAACAATACACACACAATCAGATTGTAGTACACAAACACGCAGACATATTTAGATTTATAAATACGCAAAAAAGCGACGAGACAGGAAATATGTCCACAACCCTTAAAAAAACCTAAAAGAAACGACAACATATACATACAATGAAAGGCATATATAAGTGATTATACACACATTCATTGATATTATGTATATACACACATATATACCCACCAAGAAATATTCAAATTTGAAAGTGTTAGTAAACGAATTCTAAAATACTATCATAATTTATATGGGCAAAGATATATTGATAAAAATGGCTGAATAAAATTTAATATAGGTAGAATAGAAGAAATATTCATCAATGAACAACATAAGGAAAAAGGACACAAAAATATACAGAAATCGATAAAAAAATAAATATATACTCATAAAAATAACACCTTCTAATATATAAGAAATAAAAATCCTAAACACAGAAAAATATATAAATATCTCATAATTATATACGTATTAGTACACATACACGAGTACAAATATATAACAATATGTGAACGAAAATAAAATAAAAATACATAGACATATGTGTACACCCACTCTTCACTATAAATAGAAACATACAAAATTATACATGTATGTAAACAATATTAACTACATTTAACAGCCCACATATCCGGAAAATCTCATAGAAAATATGCGTTCCTCGACAGGAATCGAACTGTTATTCTACACGGAATCGTCACATAGCCTGATGTTTGATGTTTGTCGGAGGACACACATCTTCTATGGAATTTCTCGGACATTCAGGCAATACTGTTTATTATAAACAGGATTTATTAAAATATGTGTATCTATATAGATAACGTATAAGCAATATATTAAAATAATTGTCGGATATATATATACAAAATTTCAAGCGTTATTTTTTAATATTCTGTTTGTTTGTTTTTTTTTGTTGTTGTCGAAACCAGAATGAAATACAAAAATATCCTATTTTGTGGCAAATCTGCTTGGTTGGGATGAGATCTTTTCAAAACCTTTTCGTACTCCCGTCTCCACATGTGTATTTATAACTCTGAAAACACCAAAATTCTGATAAGTTCTGCCACATAACATGACGCCAAAGATTTTTCCCAATAATGTATTGCCCTAGCGGAACAGACGATATTTCTTTTGCGATAAATCTCCAGATGAAAAGGAAAGATATCTAAGCGAATATACTCGTGAGATTTACTGGAATTCGCGGAAGAAAAACTACCGTTTCCAAAACCTCTTTTATTTTTTTGTCACTAGCAGAATTGAAATAATACGTCAGAATTTGGTATTCACCATGCGAGATGCTTGATAGAGTTGCTTCAGTTGCTGATGTACAAGAGAAAAAACGGCTTTGAAAGCTTCACACAGATATACATATATACGGGGGTATACATTCATTTACACAAACACACATACGTACATACATATATAAATACATACATACGTATTTATTCATTTGGCAACTAATCTTTTTGGCTTTGCATTTTCTGAATAAAAGTCGCGAAAATATTATGGGTTACTGGAGAATTTTTTTAATTTTAATTTTTTTTAGTTTATATTTCTTGTTTTCTTACAAGTACTTTTATTTATGGTTGAAAATTATAGGTATATTTTCCGTTATTATTTCTGCAAATCGTTCCGACATTTAGGTCATCTTCAGGAAGGAAACTGTATTCAACAATAACGGGGGTGGGCGTGCTTTCTCCACCTCTTATTTTGACAGATTTATATTTTCCATTGAAATTTAATTTTTCAAGATGTATTTAGTGTTTAAATGACATATATATATATATATATATATATATATATATATATATATATATATATATATATATATATTACGAAGATTTGCTTTAAATTTTTTTGTCTCGGATGCTACCTGAATTTTACAAAAAAACAAAATAGTTTTCATGTCTGAAGCGAGAAGCCACTAGGATGCAAGGGGTTACAGAAAATTTGGAGCAAGATCAGATAGGAGTGATAGAGGAAAGGATGAGGAGAAGGGTAGTGGATAGATCAAGGCTACTGGAGATGTCGATTGACATTACATTTGAATAGCTGGAGATTATAGCTCTCAGGGAAACTGGAATAGGAAAGGGAGTTCTACAGGCGAGAGGTGCGAGACGAAGCTATTGGAGTAGAAGAGACGGCTACATTTAGGAGTTTCGACAGTGAAAAGGTGAGAGCGAGATACCAGCCTTGTAGGGCGCTTGAACTCATGAAGTCTGGGAACCAGCGAATGCAGCTTCTTGGAGCAATTACCATGAAAGTATTTGTAAAAAAGACAGAGAGAGGCGACGGCCCGTCTGTGAGAGAGCGACTGTAGACGAGATGCCAGATCAGGGCCAATTATATTGCATATCCGCCTCTGGAGCCTATCAAGAACCCCGAGGAAAACAAAAGGGAATCCAGACCATATATGGCAGCAATACTCGATGCAAGGGCGAATTGTTGATTTGTAGATCTGAAGGATCGATTCCGGGGAGGAAAATTTCCTGGCGCGGCACAGGGAGCTAACTTTCCTTGCGGTGGACGAAGCAATTTACTCAAATGTATTTGTTCCATCTCAGGTCAGCAGCCACCCTGAGACCGAGCAGCCGCAGAGAGGTGCTCTCGAGAAGTTGAGCGTCAGACATTCTAATGGAGGGCAGAGAAGGATCTCTGTGGTGATTAATAGAGAGCAGTTTTGAAATTTTTCTCAGACCTCAGAAGCACATTCTTGGACGGGAGAGCGTAAAGACATCATCCCAGGGGACATCGCGGAGGAAATCACGGAACGCGTCCCAGTCAGGTCGTTGATAGTAGAACGAAGTTCTAGTGGTAGGAGGTTCTTTGCAGGGGGTGGAGTTGAAGGAGATGTTAACAGATACTACCGCATGATTAGAGTTACCAAGAGGGCAGAGTTGCGTGGCGCTACAGGACTCGAGGATGGAGGTAAAACACAGATCGAGAAGAGCGGCTTTACCTTCCCGGTTGAAGGCAAAACGAGTGGGGAAGTTAACTATCTGTGTGAGGGATTGAGAGACTGAAAAATTGAGCGTTTGAATGCCTGCGTGGTCAGTAGTAGCATTCTTAAGCCACATAGTATGATGGGCATTAAAGTCGCTGAACACAAATATGTGAGCAAACGGGTGGAGGGAGAGAGCCTTGTCTATGCTGTCAGAAAAGAGTTTAGTATCAGAAAAAAGAAATTAGAGTAATAAAAAATCAATGAATTTATGAAGAAAGGAGGAAAGAACGAAAGCTGAAAAATAACTAAGAAAAAATGAAAGAAAAAAAAGGAAGAAAAATGAAGGAAGAAAGGAAGAAAGAATAAATATAGGAAGAAAAATAAAGAAATGTATTAGCGGGTGTAGCATCCGAAAAGAATTTCGAAAAACGGTATCCAGAAAGAAAGAAATCGAGAAAAAAAGAAAAATGCAAACACACACACACACACAAAAACAGAAAAAAAGAAAAACAAAACAAAACAAAACAAAAACAAAAAAAAACAAAAATAAAGAAAGATGAGTTGAGCATCAGAGAAAGGAAATTAGAGAAAATAAAATTTAGAAAGAGCAAAATATATGCAAGAAAGCCATAAGGAAAAATCATAAAAAAAGAAAGAAATTACAGAAAAGAAGAATTAACTCAGAAAAAGACAAAATTCCAAAGAAATCTAAGGAATGTCATCGATGCTGAATTGGCAACTTCAATCACTTTGTTAATCGAAATGACATAGTGTCCCTCTGTATTTTCTACAAATATTTTCATGGCAACTGATGAGCTTTTTACCCTGGTGCCCTGACTACATTAATTAAAGGGGCTACTAGATTGGCATCTAGGTCCCACCCTTTTACTATAGAATTAGATAAATGTAACCGCCACTTCTCCAATATTTTCTTTTCTCGCACTTCCCACCTGAGGAACCCCCTTCCGTTTCATTGCTTCCTTGATAACTACAATCTTCAAAAATTTAAATGCAACGTCAATCGCCATCTTCTATCTTTTTGAGCACCATACAGTTTTTATCCTTCCCTCAGTACCGCCTATACCCAGACCTTTCTCATTCACTCTTTGTAACCCTCTGCATACCAGTGGCATTCCAGTCTTGGTTGGGGTGAAACAATTAAAAAAAAAAAAAGAAAAGAGAGGGACAGTTGCCCAAATAATATATATATATATATATATATATATATATATATATATATATATATATATATTTATTTTAGGATATCAAAACCAAAACATGTCAAAAATCCCTACACAAAGGCAATTATGTTTCAACATTACAAATGTGTCTCTTTGGGCAATGCTAAACTACTAGAGAGTGAACGATTAATTTAATTTTAAAGTCAGAATATTTCCTTTTTTTTTTTTGAGAAATAAAAAAACAGAATTAAAAAGAGGCTTGTGGTGGGCTTTACTGGGATTAACCAATCGAATGTAACCTCCACTAAATTCAAGATCACCGAAAAAAATATTTTTTATTATATGTTATGACACGAAGCTGTCTGCATATAATTCCGAGACAATTTCATCATAGACAGATACAAATGGCTACTTTATTTCGTAAGATGTATGGAAGTCTGGCGTTCATCTTTCTTAAGAAAAAAACCGTAATAATAGAAAGATACTCTTTTTTACTAAATAAAATATCGTCTGGAATAGCAATGTCGGTGGAAAATTTTCAAATTAACAGCGTGCCGGTTTAAATAAACCCTTACGAGATCCAAGTGTGCTCTCTTTCTTCAAGTTAAAAGCAAGATTTAGCCTCCAAAGAATGTATATCAGTTATTGCAATACGTTTTAATTTTTATTAAACTGTCGAGATAACCACTGATGTCGTTATGTAAACACGAAAAGACTGCTACAAAAGATTTTTATTCTGATGTTGAATCAATAAATTTCGTTATTTTTCTGGATAAGCGCGCCAGTTATATGAGTAAATAGAACTAGGCATGTTTATTTCTGTTTGTAAGGAAAACTGAAATTTTCATGAAGAAAATCGAACAGACAGTATAGAAATGTGGAAAATCAATTACGCTCTCGGACACAACGTTATATGATTTTTCTTTATTTATACAAACGGGTCGCCTAAAATTTTAGTAAACTATTTTTAATTTCCTTTACACCGAAGCAAATAAACCTCGCAACTCTTAAAATAGCATTAAATAAAATATCATGTGGATGTAAGTTCACAAACGTACCAAAGTAGAGACATACCCTTACATACACACGCGCACATATCTATCCTCTTCGTCTTCATAATGTTCACTTACTTCTACGGCTTTTTGAATCCATATCGCTCATTCAGTAACCTTCTACCTTGAGCGGCTTTTGAGCATAATATTATATAAACTTTAGAACAAAATTCATACAGATTTTCTAAGTTTTTTGACTTATTGAATTGAGGTAAATATTTTAGTGCCATCATTTGCACAATATTAGAGAGATCATAGAAGTGTTTCTGAAGGTTTCACAGCCCTTCGCTGACTGCTCAATCGGTTACTGTATTCTTTTATGTCATCTGAACTGCCATGGCTTTCTTGAAAAGATGGTATGGTAGGTTCACGATGCTTTCTCCCTGGTTGGGAATTCAGTGTGTTTTTTTTTTAGATAGGTTGCCACCTGAGACTAGATAGCTAAGTCTACCCTACTATTTAACCCATAGATGGTGAGAAAAGAGACGGAAGCATGCCTTTCTCAAGAGCAATGATAATGCGAAAAGGATTTGAACTCAGAATTTCCGATTGCTATTTTTCGCGTTTATGCTCATTATATTACCCACACATTTTTTAGCAGAGATTTACACGTGCTTCTTCTTTTATGTGTCGTCCCCCTTCAGGGCGTAGACGATCATGGCTCTCCTTTTCCCCTATCCCTTGTAGCCCTCAATAAGTTTTGTCACTTTGCTACTTCATTCGGACCCTGTTCTGTCATACACTTATTTTAAGCCAGCTAGGTATGTCACGCGTTGCTTTTCCTTATCTCTCTTTCCCTCCATTCGCCCTGTGAGTATCAGATTCTCCAAGCCCTCCTTTCTCATTAAATATAAGATATTTCAGCTGCCTCTTCATGATGTTAAGTATTAGCTTCCTCCTTATTTGCATCCTCACCAAACTCTCATCGTTGCTCACACGCTCAGTCCATGACAACCTCAGAATCCTTCTATAGAACAATATATTCGTTGCCTTAAGGTCAATTAACAAAAAAAAACCCAAAAAAAACCAAAAAAAACGCAACGCTAGTTTCTTAGTGATTTTGTTTTTTACGGTTATCAACCTCTCTTCCTCGTTGTAGAAACAAAAATTGTAGTCGTTGTATTTGCATAAAGGAACAAGTGTTATATAATCCAATCGATAAGTGTCATTTGATTTTGATCCGGCATCTTAATTTGTAGAATGAAAGATAAATATTAAGGTCGTAGGCGTTCGTGACGCACCACAGATTCATTTCTTCATTATCTATGAGTTTCCATGGTTCATTGGGAAAGAGAGAGTTCTGTTGCTTCTCTATTTGCTGTGACGAGCATATCCTTGTTGTCTCATTGGATTGATTGAAACATTTCTAGCGCTATCTTTACACAAGAGATCTTAGACGTGTCTTTAATAGGTTAATCAATTCTCTACTGTCTGAGAAATGAGTCAACTCTATCTTATTAAATGCCATGTTACACGAATGACTATTTTATTATCTGTTAAGTTCCATGGCTCAATTTGAAAGAGTGATTCCTTTTGCTTCTCTATTCACTGTGACGAGCATAGGCTTTTTGTCTCCTTGGATTGATTGAAACATTTCTTGTGCTATCTTTACACAAGAGATCCTAAAGGTGTCTTTAGTAGATAAATCATTCTCTACTGCCTAAGAAATGAGTCAACTCTATCTTTTTTAATGCCATGTCAAACCAATGTCTACTTTATTATCTGTGGATGTTTGTGGTAGAAGGTGCGAAGGAGTTTCTCGATGACTTCCCCACGGTTTTTTGAATTCAGAACTGACCTTTTAGACTGGTGAGCATCGAAGGCGAGAGAGTCAAATCTTATTCCGTAATGTGACGTCTAATTTCAGAACATGAACGATTATGGCTCTCTACGACTTCCTAAACTTTTCTGCCCTATTGGTAATTCTTTACTATTATATTTCGTCTCTATTTTTTCAGCCATTTAGCCCGGCGCTTAAGATGGGGAGAAGAGAATGATTGGTGCCATTCCAAATGTCAATAATGTCAAATTGAACGAAATTGGTTAGGTAGGAAGTTTCAATTTACCTTTGGATAACATTTTTCTCTATTACATAATTTTACGTACTTTTTAAACCTTAGGAAAAACATCAATAAAAATGAGTTATATTTATTTATTTACTTACTCTTTTTTATGACATGAAAAATGATTATATGTTTTGGTAGCCATCGGTTATAAAACTTAATTTATTAAGAGAATTTAAAATAAAAACAAAATTACGGATAGATGGTGAAAAGGCTTAGAAAATTACAGATAGGTGCTGAAAAACCCTGAAAAAATTACGGATAGGTGCTGAAAAAACCTTCAAAAATACGTTTAGCTGCTGAAAACCTTTGCAAAATTACGAATAGATGATAGAAACCCTAAAGAAATTACGCATAGATGCTGAAAAGACTTCAGATAAATACGGATAGCTACTGAAAACCTTTGAAAAATTACGCATAGATGACGAAAAGCCTTAACAAATTACGGATATTCACTAAAAAGTCTTCAAAAATTATAGAGAAGTGCTGACAAAAAATTACGGATCGGTGCTGAAAAGCCTTATAAAACTACGGATATGTATTGAAAAGGATTTAAAACTTAGGGATAGGTGCTAAAAAGCCTTAAAAAAATCACGGATGTGTGCTAAAAGCCTTCCAAAAATACGGAGAGGGGGTGAAAAGCCATCCAAAAATTACGGAGAGGTGGTTAAAAAATTTGTGGATTGATAAAGAAAACCCAAGAAAAACAAATTACGGATAATTGCTGAAAAGCCTTAAAAATTACGAATAGTTGGTGAAAAGTCTTAAAAAATTACGGATAGGTGCTGAAAAGCCTTCAAAAAATTATTATTTCTCATCACTCAATTTAAATACGTATTCCTTCATATTTCTGAACTAGCAGCATGGCCGGCGTTGCCCGTGATTGATTCAAAAATCGTACGACTCATATTTTTGCCCCTCCTTGCCTTTAAAAGAGCACCCTTTTCCGTGCTGATGCTGCTAAATGCCTTACTTCTTGCCTATCTCACACTGCGAATTTTTTCGAAGCTCTATATTAAACATTAAATCTGTTACGAAAGAAGAACTAAACAAAATGAACACAAAACGATCAGCTTTAAAAAAAAGACTCGTAAATGGAAAAACCGAATGAAA